CCACATGGTTCTCCCAACCATATACTAAATGGCTTCACACTATTTCATCCAATGGATATACCATAATTTTTTTTCTTTTTCTTTTTCTTTTTTTGGCAGCTGTCTTGTACAGGGATCAAGCCCCGGACCTTGGTGTTGTCAGCACCATGCTCTCACCCACTGAGCTAACCAGCCAGCCCCTCTCATATGCTTCTAGGGCATTTGGGTTGCTTTTGGTTTTCCACCACTATAAATATTGCCAGAACGACCACCGTCACACACGGCAGCTTTTCCTGCACATGGATGACTTTCTCAGGATATGCTGCTAGAGGTGTGATCATGGCTCTGGGGTAGGAACAGTTCGCAGCTTCTTGGCCCACGATGCCACCTGTTTGTCCAAGGGGTTATGCGTCCCCCAGCACCATGTAAGAGTATTGTCACTCACTCTGAACAGCGCTCAGGCCTATTGCTGGCTGACGGATGTTTGGTGAAGATGTGGTAATTATGAGGGCAAAGGTTAAAGAAGGAGAAGGATGGTGACCAGGACTCCAGCTAAAAGGTGAAGATGTGGTAATTATGAGGGCAAAGGTTAAAGAAGGAGAAGGATGGTGACCAGGACTAAATGAAGCAGAAGATGACCCACAATTTACCACAAACCTAGAGTGACTCAGAACTCTGTTCATTTCCACTGTAAAAAAAACAACCACTTGATAACAGGAGTTATTAATAGGACGTGACATGTCCAGTAATCTCTCCGTTAGGTTCTGCATTAGTCACAGCCTTATTTGAGACGTGAACCCTGTGTGGGCCACTGAAATTCACAGAGATGTGAGGAAACTGGCAAAGATCCAGAGGGCTCCATCAACTTGATGGAGGATGGAAGAATCCCGGAGAAAAATCAAAGGAGTCAAGCAGCCTCCCTTTGAAAAGAAATAGAGACCTTTTTCTTGCCTCAGTGCTGGGGGGCTTTCTGTGAAAAGGACAACACCCCATTGCTTGCGTGTGTCTGCAGAAGGCTGACTACAAGGAAAGGGGCCTCCACGGACCAGCAGAAACTTCTGCAGAACACAAGGCAGGACTCTTTCAGACTCTGGAGTGGTTAGTTCAGTCTTGGGGTGGGCACTCTTGGACCACTGGTACCGGAAATATTTGAGAAGCTGCCTGTTCTCCTGCCCTGGGTGGTTCAGATGCCCACTCGCTTGGTGCCCACTATGTGCCTCTGAGGGTTTCACTCTGGCTTTGTGAAAACTGTTTGCTGGCAGCCTCTTGGGGAGGGTTGGGTGGGGTTGGAGGGACGTGCTCCCCACGTTCCCTGAGCCAACCTTTTTTTCTTCTTGTCCCCTCACATTTGGTTCAGGGTGCGTTTACAGCCCATCCGGTTGGCATGCTGTGACATCATCTGATCTTGCTATTCCAGCCCTGCCATGCATAGAGTGGACTTAGAAAGAAGCCGGGTGGGGGAGTGGAAACTACCCAGACAAGGCCCTCTTGGTGACGTAGAGAGAGGGAGTGACCCAGGAGACCTCAAGAGCCATTTAATTCAACCTCCTACAATAACCGTTTCCTAAGATGCAACAGGTGCTTTACATACATTCTTTTGAATTCACACAACCACCTTGGACGTAGGGTTTCACAAATGTGAAACCGCAGATCAAGACAAGTTAAGTAATTTTCCCAGGGTCACACTGCCAATATAGACTTGCCTACACTATGTCTTCCTGGCAGTAAAATCTGTGCACTCGCCTTTAGAGAATACAGATGTGAAAATTGCAGACCATAGCCTCCCACCCAAACCCACACAAAGTGACCTGAGACAGAAACTCAGGCTCCTTACTATTCGTTAAGGAATCTTTCTATGACACGTGGTCTCTTCTGACGTCTGATGCTGGGAAGCCAGCCCGGGTCAGATGTAACTGAGGAGTAGACAGTCTCTGGATAAATGCTGCCCACGGGCTCCGTTCTTTGCCTTCAGGACCCCCGCCCCAGCCAACGTCGGGAAAAGCCCTCACCCAGGAGGGCCGGGCAGGGCAAAGGGCCGGGCTAGTCCGTTTCTGCAAGAGCCAATCTGGGGCCAGGGCGGAGATAGCGAGGTGCAGTGGGGAAACCCTGCACTTGGGGTCAGAATATCTGGGTTCCCGTCCAGACTGGCACCCAGCAAGAACCTATAGCAAGTTACTTAAAACTCCGAGTTTCCTCATCCTCAAAACCGGGACAAGGGTAAACCACATGGGAAGGGCGCAGACGCAAACGCTGGAATTGCTATGCAGCCAAGTAATCCCATCCGATCTTACCACCTCGCCACTGTGAGACGCCTGGCCCTGCGGCCCCAGGGAGGCCCGGCCCAAGCAGAGAGGGGGGGATAAAACTACAACTCCCAGGAGGCGCCGGGCGGACGGCGCGGGGGCGGTGACGCTGCGGGGCCCGGCGCGGGGCGCTGATTCGGCTGG